CGTAGTTCTTTACTTCAATCAGATGCAGAGTTTAATTGCTCCCACCAAAAACAAATTGCAGCATAGGCCTCGCAAAATCTCAAGACTCCAATTTGTGAATTTCTGAAGAAGGGAAGATGGATTACGTAAATGGACCAGGACGGAACCACCTCTTTGTTCCGGGCCCCGTCAACATCCCGGACCAGGTCATTCGTGCTATGAACAGGAACAATGAGGATTACCGTTCGCCCGCTATTCCGGCACTTACCAAGACTCTCCTCGAGGATGTGAAGAAAATTTTCAAGACTACTACCGGAACCCCATTCCTCATTCCCACCACTGGTACATCCTTCATTGAAAAAGCTGTGTGATAAAGCATTTAGCCTTTCATGTATGCAATCCAAAGTTGCGGTCTTGGTTTTAGGTACTGGTGCATGGGAGAGCGCTCTGACCAACACGTTGTCTCCTGGAGATCGGACCATCTCGTTCTTGATCGGCCAATTCTCTCTGCTCTGGATTGATCAGCAGCAACGCCTCGGCTTCGATGTGGATGTCGTCGAAAGTGACTGGGGCCAGGGTGCCAATCTCGACATCCTGGCATCGAAGCTTGCTGCCGACACTGCACACACCATTAAGGCGGTATGCATCGTCCACAATGAGACAGCAACTGGAGTCACCAACCACCTGGCTAAAGTAAGAAAAATACTTGGTAAGGACATAACATTTGCACTAGTCCAAGCTTTGAATTCATGTCTTCAGCATTTATCTTTCTGATCTATGATTAGAAGGGCTCTTATCACTGCATTGGTTGCATTATATTGTACTGAACGTCGACAAGTTATTTCATGTCTTTTTGCTACGATTTTATCTTTTTAACTAATTGCTTTAATAGGCCCTTCTGTAATATCATGCGACGTATTTACTTGCAGATGACTATAGGCACCCAGCCCTGTTTTTGGTCGATGGAGTCTCTTCAATCTGTGCTCTCGATTTCCGCATGGACGAATGGGGAATCGACGTGGCCTTGACTGGTTCTCAGAAAGCGCTCTCTCTTCCCACTGGAATGGGCATTGTTTGTGCAAGCCCCAAGGCTCTGGAGGCATCCAAAACTGCAAAGTCGGTCAAAGTCTTCTTCGACTGGAAAGACTACCTCAAGTTTTACAGGATGGGAACCTATTGGCCATACACCCCTTCCATTCATCTACTGTACGGGCTGCGAGCTGCTCTCGATCTCATTTTCGAGGAAGGACTTGATAACGTGATCGCGAGGCATAACCGTCTCGCCACAGCAACTAGGTAAGGCCATTATTTCCTCAATCTTTGTCTGATCATCTCTCATTTGTCTTGATCTAATGACTTATTTCATTTGACTTCAGGATTGCTGTAGATGCGTGGGGGTTGAAGAACTGCACACAAAAGGAGGAGTGGTTCAGCGACACCGTGACAGCGGTTGTTGTTCCCCAGTATATCGATAGCTCCGAAATTGTGAGGAGGGCATGGAAGAGATACAATTTGAGTTTAGGCCTGGGACTGAACAAAGTGGCTGGAAAAGTCTTCAGGATAGGCCATCTTGGCAATCTGAATGAGGTATGTTTCTTTCCACTGTCGATAACATGAATTTTGAACTTGCAAGATAAACAAGCAAAAGGTTTGCACTTCTAAAACCTTTACTCGCTGAAAGATTCGCCTCTCAATCATTAAGTGCGAAATGGGTTGTGGAAATCTGATAGTTGCTTCGTGTCTTTAAAACCTGGAGACAGCATTGCATATGCAAAATTCCTGTCAGTGTTGTTAAATAACACAAATTTAGGCACCACCCAGTTTGGATTTACAAATCCTGGTCGCTTGATCAGCAAAAAACTCATACTTATTATGTCAGTATTGAGCACGAGCATGGGTGTGATGGCGAGCGTGCATCGCACGAGGGTCTTTCTTATTAGAAGCACATATTCCCCATTTCCTTCATCCTGGAATTCCATTATCATCTGGACACAAATGTTCCTCTCTGCTCTATTTTCAGCTGCAACTGCTGGGTTGTCTCGCCGGCGTGGAGATGGTGCTCAAGGATGTGGGCTACCCCATCAAGCTCGGAAGCGGGGTTGGGGCCGCGTCTGCATACCTCCAAAATACCACCCCAGTGATCGCATCCAGGATCTAAAGAAACAAGCTTCGCCTGCCTCAATCATGTAATTAGTTGTCCTCTTCAACCATCATTCCTTTAGAATTCCCATGTAAAAACATACGCTGTTTTCCTATTTTTGCAAGTACTCTTGAGGTTCCCCGAGCTCCTGGTTTGATATAACATTACATTACGCACTGTGCTCGAATCGGACTTTCGTGGTTCCTGCCACTCTCGATTGTGGACAATGTTCGCATCCAAAGGTGCTCTGAGTTCGAAAGATTGATGAGCGATCGAGCATGTTGTTTGTGAAACTTGTTAGCTCAGGTTTTATGATAAGGTTCATCCCCTTGTTCGACTTGGAAGTTGTAGGACCTTCGGATTTCCTAGTCCACTGGTGTCCTGACCCGGTGATTCTCGTAGGTTTTTTGCTAGTCATGGAAGAGCACATCCAGACTACTTTGACTGCTGTTTACTGTTAGGACCCTAATGCGTGCGCACCCATCAAAATGCCCGCCCTTGAATCTCGCGGACCTTTCGATCACAAAAAAAAAAAAAAAAATCTCGCGGACCTTGTGCGAAATCCACTAGTTTCGGGTTTGAACGCGGAGTACTGCGTATTCGGAAGTCAAATCTAGCAACACTCGAGGAACAATAGCAATTGATTCCAAGATGATAATTAGTTACTTCGACGTACGCACGAGTCAAGACCAGTGGTTGTAACGACACTCGAATATGGAGCCGAGTTATTTGTGGTAGGGGTGAGCGGTTTCAGATTCCTTATAGGTTCCACCTGGAATCTGGAACCTGGAACCTACCTTCGGATACAGGTTCCTCAATTTTTGGAACCTAGAACCTTACCGTTAGAACCTGGAACCTATAACCTACCCTATCATAGGTTCTAGGGTCTAACGGTTTTTTTATTTATTTCATTTTTAGTTAAACAAAACGAAAGTGAATGCAATAATACTAAAAAAGCTTGTCATTCACAAAAAAGAATACAAAATACTAATTTTCCTGGCATTACAATTCAAATAAATACGGTTAAATTAAGAAGTCATTGCGTGAATCAATACTATGAGTGAACGGTTCCATGTTCCGTATAGGAACCTGCCCATGATAATAAGTGCCTCATTTTTTGGAACATGGAACCTACCTTATTGCAAGTTCTAGAGTCTACCAAAGTTTCACATGTATTATTAATTGAACAATTATAGTGAATCATCACCTTTAATGAAACCAATAGTGAACCTACCCACTTGCTGTTATGATTCACTGACCACAACTTATATTTAAACATATGAAGAATATGAAACATTAACAAGTCATGAAATGAAAGCTCATACTAGTGGTTCCAGATTATACATTCATCGTCTAACTCCATAAAACACCACAGGATCACGCGAAGACATAGATCAAGAAAAAACATAAAAAACTTATTTAGATTCCAGGTTTCACCTACCTAGAACCTGGAACCTACCCGTTGAAACGGGTTCTCTAATTTTTGGAATCTGAAACCTACCTTGCATATTTTGGAACCCGTAATCTACAGGTTCCCATCGGTCAGGTTCTCGGATTCCAGGTTCTACCTTGGAACCATGCTCACCCCTAATTCGTGGTGCATCAAGTGACGTCTGCATCTCGTAAGGAACTTGGAATACGTTTGCCTCGTGAAAAACGAATAATTTGAAAAATATTATTTTAAAAGATGATCTCTTATATCACTTATAAAATCGAATGAATGAAAATATTTAAACATAAATTATTTATGATCAATTAATTACTCCAGGCAATACTAATAATTATTTTTTTTTAAAATAATTATCTAAATAATTTATTTTTCGCGAAATAAATAGTATTTTTGAGTTTCTTTTTTTGATAAATTTTTTTTTTTGGAGTTCCTTTAATTGGTAATCGTAAATAGAAAAGAGTATACTCCAATTAGGTAAAACACGTCAATTATCACGTGATGCCAGCAGCAGCCAATCGACCTGCGAGTCACGTCATCGCGGGAGGAACGGCTCCGTCCAGTGCATCTACGTGGCAACTCTTGAAAAGTCAGGATAAGGATGCCAAAAGTCAACTCGGTCCACGGCCATACACATGAGAAAAGTCGCGGGTGCTGTGGGAGGAGGAGTACGACTTTCAAGACCCCCCCTCCCCTCCCTTCTCATTGATTCTATCCAACGACAAATGTACATTGAATCCAATTCTTCAATTCATGGGCATTAAAATTCCACTCTACCCTCTAAGACTTAAGACTCCACGCTGGCTTTTCATTTTTTCGAAACATTAATTACACATTACACGGAAAACATAATGACATCCGAGAGTACCGCGATAACTCTGTCGTTGGCAAAAGTTGATACAGCATCGTAATCATCGGTCATACAGTTGATTCGACGGACGGCTCTACAGTTCCGTTTAAAGAGAAGCAAAACGTCAAAAGTCTTCTTACATATTCCACGAGGGCCGAGGAGATCGGGAGAGCTCGCATGTCTCGAGACGGGGCAACGGTTCTCTGCCCTCGACACTGACGGAGGCGGATGCGGCAACTCGGTGGGACCATCGACGCGACAACCGTTGGGATGGATATATGATTGGGCAATTCTTTTGCTTATAAAGATTTATTTCACGAGCGAACATTGTACGAAGGCACGTGATACATGTCTCGGCGCATCAGCATAAACGTTGTTCGCGTCGACCCGGCCGGTCGGAATCTACGTCTCTCTCCTACGTAGCATGAGATGGTGCGTGTGCAAAAATCTGTGTGTACCATTCAAAACCGCGTCCCTCGCCATTTGTCTCTCTCTCTCTCTCTCTACACGACCGCCTTTCTTTTTCTCTCTCTCTTCCCGTATATATATAATACAAAAACCGTCCTCCGCAAAACCTCCATTTCTACCTTATCTCTTCATCTTCAACCTCTCTCTCTCTCTCTCTCTCTCTCTCTTCGAGAACCCCCACCTAAACCCAGATTCTGTATTCGCCGCCATCGCAACCCACGACCCAGAACTTCCATCCATGGATCTTCGAAGACCGGAGGAAGTTGTAGAAGAAGAAGGAGGAGGAGAAGGAGGAGAAGACCAGATCGGTCGCATACCGGACGACCTCCTCCTCCACATCCTCGGCCGTGTCCACGACGCGAGGTCCCTCGCCCGCTGCCTCGCCGTCTCCAGGCGCTTCTCCTCCCTCGTCCCCCTCGTCCCCACCGTCTCCCTCTCCTTCCCCTCTCGCCTCCTCCGCCGAGCCTCCTCCGGCCGCTGGCGCCCCCGGAGCAGCGGCAGCTACTTGTCTCGTCTCCTCGACAAATTCGTCCGCAGCCCGCTCCGCTCCCTCTGCCGCGTCGTTTCGCCCAAATTGGCCTCGTGCTCCGGCGGAGGAGACGGCGGCGACGACTGCGACTGCGATAACGGTTCCCGTCCCACCCCGGGCGAAGTGCTGAAACCCTTCAAAGGGATCGAGTCGCTGCGCGTGGAGCTCCCCTCCTGCGTCGACGCGGTCGGGCTCAACGGCAAGCGCACGGTCCTCAGGTGGACGGCTCGATTCGGGGGCGAGATGGAGAGCTGCGTCGTCCTCGGAGCGAATTCGCTGCGGAGGAGAGACGCCGCCGCAGCCGCCGACGCCTCCTCGGGAGAGGAAGGCGCGCCGGAACCGAGTCCGAGAGCCGTCGGAGAGGTCGAGCTCGAGCCCGCGCCGGTGATCGCGGAGGAGGAGCTGAAGTTGCGAGTGGTCTGGATCATTTCCTGTCTGATCGCCGCTTCCGCGAGGCACTACCTGCTGAAGCAGATCGTAGCGGATCATCCGATGCTGAAGAGCGTGTCGATCGTCGACTCGGACAAGCAGGGGAAGGTCGGGATGCGCGAGGAAGAGATCGCCGAGATGAGGAGATCCTTGGACTCGGCGCCGGCGGCCGCCGACGACGACGCGGCGGCGGCGGAGAGGATCCGAGTTCCGGACCTGAGGATGAAGCTGTGGTACGCGCCGGAGTTGGAGCTGCCGGAGTCCGGGTACGTGATGAGAGGGGCGACGATGGTGCTGATCGCGCCGGCGAGCAAGGCCGGCGGGGAGCAGGGGAAGGCGAAGGAAGGGGGCGACCTGGGCGATGCGGCGGCGAAGAGCGCGAGCTTCGAGGGAGGCGACGGGGAGGAGGAAGCGGCGTTCGGCGAGGCGGTGAGGGAGATGAGGAAGATGAAGAAGACGTACGTGCTGGAGATGAATTCCTTCTGAGATGAGATCGGACGCGGCAGATTGTTTGTTTTTTCTTTTTTTTTTTTAATGTTTCGACTTCCTCGGTTTTTTTTTTTTTTGGCACACATGTGTATGGTCGAAGCACGGGGTCGATTTGTTGATTCATTAGTGGAACAAATAAGGTTTCAAACTCTGTCGAGACGCTCGGTGACGAGATCACGGCCTCTTCATCTTGTCCATCTCTCTCCTCCTCCTCCTCCTCCTCCACTTTTTTTCTCTTTCGTGCGGCAGATACTGCTTGTGAGGTCCGCCCCGAACCTTCGTTCCCGACGCGAAACGAGTCGTGTTGCCGACCCGCAGGCGCTTGTAATTCCCTTTCGGATAGATCGAACTCGTCGAATTAATTAGATTCTTAAGGCAGGGCCCCCGATTAAATCGTGGGAGTTTGGTTTTAAAATCCTTGAACACGTTTTTTCTTCCTTTTTTTTCCAAGTAAGACAGCTCAACATAGCTGCTGCAAAATGTACTTGCCGTCGGACAAAGGACAAAAGAAACACGTATGCGCTGCGACCACCGTAGAATGATTGGAATGGTGAGGACGGAGCTCATGATTAAAATCAACGCTGACTCGAAATAGGTCATCCGTGATGTCAAAAAGGGGCCGCTGCCCTGCTTGCTTTTGAAGAATTCGCAGCTTTCACAAGGACTTAAAATGTTGATATTCTTCTGGTTCAGAGGTCGACTAAAGAACATGAAGTTAGATCGTCTTGTCTTCTGTATTTACATTCACTCGTTCACCCGAGAGAATTAACTCTTTTTTTTTTTTCTTTGGGCTAGTAGAAAGTGGTTGGGAGGAGACTGACCGGCCGCCCCATCGGCGTTATCATGGAATTTCCACATCTTGCGGTTTTAATGTTTGGCTTGTAGATCGGTCGAATCTCGATGTTGCATCGGCCCCGCCAAACCATTGTACGATGTAGTGGCGGAGTGACCTCTAAAGACGTTTGCTTGAGATGAGCTTAAACCATTATCATGAACTAGCTGCACTGTCGATTGGACGTGAGCCTCGTCTAGTGTGGGAGCTTAGCTTAGCGATCGATCTTCACACTTGCAATACTCAAAACTCCTGTTATTTGAAGGGAAATTGCTTGAGACTTGAGAGTAGAACTGTCAAAATGGCCTCAAACCCATTTGTGAACTCAAATTTGTTAAAATGGATCATATATGGATTACCTCAAATTTGACGGGCCTAATCATGACCCATAACGGCTTCTAAAATGAAAAGCCCAAAACAAATGGATTTAAATGAGATTCTTCGTTTTCTTCTCACATTACTCGCGATTTTTATTTCATTTTGCAGATTTCTTTTATTTTTCGTTAATTTATTTTTGAAGATCCGTTGGGCATTTCTCTCTATGTTTGGGTTGGGTCATGTAAGTGGGTTTGGGTTGGGTTGGATTGGGTAGGAGCCATCTAATTTGTTTAGTAAATAAATGTGCCAATATAAGTTAGAACCCATTTATGACCCACCCAAATTCATCCCAAACCACTTACTTGCCTTCTCTACTTGAGAGTAAGTTTTTATCTAAGCCATTTGTCACCTTAATTATCTTCGACTTATGTGAACGATCTCCTCGTCATAGCATCCAACCGAGATGGGGAGGCGCGTTGATTTGAGAAATTAAACTCTACATCGCTTTCTCATCACTATTTGCATTCTCTATCGATTGCCGATCTCGTGTTATCTTTTTCACTCTCCATTTGACAATTGATGTGAGGGATGATGGATTAAAATCGGGTGGCATCTCAACCGTTGATTACGTCGATCAGATCGGAATCCGAGATCATTTAACGGTGATCGCATGCCGAAGTTGCACGCGCAAAGCGCAACTCCCAAACCATCCGGACCCCACCTCGGGCCCGTTTGGTTCGGCTTTGGGGAAATGCAAATACCTTTGGGCTAAAGGGGTTTTCCGAAATGCAAGTAGCGTTTGGTAAGTGTTTTATAAAATCAACTTGGGCTAAAGGACTTTTGCTATTTTTTTTTAAAAAAAAAACTCCGGTGGAGCTACACGGCCGGCCACCGCCTCCGGCCGGATCTGGTCGCCGCAACCGCCGACGGCCAGATCTGTCGCCGGCGACCACCGCCTAGGGTCGCGCGACCCGCAGCCGCCGCCCTGGGGTCGCGCGACCCGGCGACCGCCGCTGGGGTTGCCAAACCTCGGGCGGTCGCACAGGTCTCGCAACCCGGGCGAAGCGTTACTGGGTCGCGCGACCCGGGCGATCGCCGAGGTTCGCGACCCGAGGCGGCGGTCGCCAGGGTCGCGCGACCCCTGCGCGGTGGTCGCCGGAGTCGGGCTAGCCCTCAGGCGGCGGCCGCCGGACGTCGGTTTGGGGAAGATGAACAGTGTTGATAAATAGTGCAAGTTGCATTCCGAAAATGCAACTTCCCAAAGCACCTTCAGAGGTGCATTGGCCTAAGGTCTGTTGGCCAGCATTCCAAATGCAATTGCATTTCCCCAAAGTGAGTAAAAAAAATTGCCAAACGCCATTTGTATTTGGCCAAGGGGCTTTAGAGGCCAAATGAGCATTGGGAATGCTGAACCAAACGCCTCGTCTCCGCCGGGCGGTGGCACGGGTGCCAAGGACCGAATCCAACGACGCCACGCTTGAGATTCGCAAGTCGTCCCCCATCGTCCGTTGCAGCGTACGCATTATATCGTCAAAAGACTGGCTAAACCAAACAGAAGGAAATCACATTACTTGACCGCTTAATCCAAATTAACAGAGATTACATTTCTTTTTCAGCGGTTCAGAATAATAAAACCCGTCGTGGTTAGCGATTGATTAACATAAGAACGACGGGAGTAACAAGCCAACGGCCAAAAAAACCAGAACAGCGGCCGACGCATTAGCTGTATCCACATACACCGTAGGCTGCCTCTCGCCTTCGTTTTGACAGGGAGTATTCAGGGATTGTTAAAAAAACAGAAGAAGATCTGCAACAGCCCATGGTTGGACGACGTTCATGACAAGAGAGAGAGAGAAAGAGAGAGAGAGATCAGGAGGAATGGATTTCTCGACGGACAACCTGACCGGCGTCGTGTTGGCGCTCCTATCGAGCGGGTTCATCGGAGGTAGCTTCATCATCAAGAAGAAGGGCCTCCGGCGAGCTGCCGCCGTTTCTGGGGTGAGAGCTGGTAAATATCTTCGGATTTTCCCCGTTCCTTCAACAGAACGTAAGCTTTGACGAATTGGGTGTCTGGAATTTCTGATAAACGGGGACTGATTCGATGTCTTGATCTCTTGGTGAAAGGTGTTGGTGGGTATGCGTATCTGTTGGAGCCTCTGTGGTGGGTGGGCATGATCACGAGTAAGCTCCCGGATTTAATTTCCATCATTTATCTCTCCGGCTCGATAATTAGTGCCAATAGCTCGCTAAATCGATTCTAACCATTGAAATCAAGGTTGTTCGATGAACTTGGAGCATGTGCGTTGCTCTTTCGGCGGTGATAGTTAGTGTAAAACTGGCTTATGTTGCTTCGTGTTGCATTTTGTTGGAAATAGAGTGATAATCAGAATAGAGGAGAAACCAAGAAATTGAGCTATTAGCTTCATGCTTCAGTTTCTGAGCATCCCAGTGGTCCTGACCTGTTTCATCAGCTGAAAATTTGCAGAATTTGTTCTTGTTTTTTAATGTTTTCCGATGTAGTGATTGTTGGAGAGGTTGCGAATTTCATAGCTTACGCGTTTGCCCCGGCGGTGCTCGTCACTCCTCTCGGTGCTTTAAGTATAATTGTCAGGTAGTGTTTTTCTCCTCGGGTTATTGGCATGTTCTTGTGGGTGTTCGTTGCAGTATCTCAATATGAGCCCTTTTCGATTGTCCTCAATGTCTGTACTTTGGCTCGATTGGTTAGTGCCGTGCTGGCGCACTTCATCTTGAAGGAGAAACTACACAAGCTGGGGATCTTGGGCTGTGTGATGTGCATTGTTGGGTCTGTCATAATTGTCATCCACGCACCACAAGAGCGTCCCATCACTTCTGTTCAAGAAATATGGATTATGGCGACTCAAACAGGTCAGTCTTCGGGCTTGGTTTATTATGCGTTCTTTATACGATCACCGATTTGCTGATAACTGACTTCATTTATGGATTTTTCAGCTTTTCTGCTCTACGTCGGCTCAGTAATCATGCTGGTATTCGTCCTGGTTTTACATTTTTCACCTAGATGTGGGCACACGAATGTGCTAGTTTACACTGGCATCTGCTCGTTAATGGGCTCTCTCTCGGTAAATTACTTGCTTCGGCGTCTTTTGGATTTTTTTCTTCCTTCCGACCTATACTTTAGCGTATACGCGCCAACCAGATTGTTGGAAGCACCAATTAAACACAAGAGTTGATCTTGCATTATTAGCGTTAGGTAGATCATTGATTTGGGATACGGGGAGGCTCATCACCAGGGACACATTGTATTCTTTTCTATTTCTTTTTGTCCTGTCAAAACAAAGTTAATAAGTTACAATAATTACTGTGGACACATGCTTAATTTTCTTTTGCGTGTGGGTATTTTTTCTTTCTCAGTTCTCATCAGTTGTATGATCTGTCTGCAGGTGATGAGTGTGAAAGCCCTTGGGACTTCTTTGAAGTTGACTTTTGAGGGGAAGAATCAGTTGATCTATCCAGAGACTTGGTTTTTTATGTTGGTGGTGGCTACATGTGTTATTACCCAAATGAATTATCTCAATAAGGTCCGTTCCCTAGTTGTTATCCAATTTTGATTAGCTAACTGTTCCCAATGATGAATGTGTAAATTTTATTTTGTCATTGCCGCACAGCCACCGATAACATTTAATGACTCGCCAGATTTCCTCTTTTATTGTGACTTTTCCTTTTCCCTTATGTTGAGATTACACACAACATTGGGAGAAAAGGAAGTCATGGAATATCTGCATCTTTCTTAAGTAGATATGGTGCTTGTTGTCCTTTTTTGTGGTGCCCGATCAATTCGATGTTTCTTGTTTCTTGGGACTGTAGGACAGGTAAACCTTCTTTTTTCTTTGTTAGAAGCATTTTGTTGGTGATATGGTAAATTAACCAACTGGTTTAAAGTTAGCTCTGAAGATTATGATCATGAAGAAGTCGAATTCTTCTTTATTGACATTCTCTCTTTTTATTGTAAGGCTGTTTTGAGACTCCAGCCTCCGTACCTCTAGTCTTTATTTTGTGCATACTGATCCATTCGCAAACCTCATAAGTTGTGCTTAGAACAATCAGGAACTGTGGAGGAATTTCAGCCTTCTTTTCCTTTGAGTCTATGATAATCGAGGACTCTGAGTTTCTGACTCCTGCAATTCTTAACTAGATTTTCACATGTAAACTTGCATTAGTCTAAAACATATCTATCTTCCTGTGGCCTTTTGGCAAGGTTACTGCCCTCTATTCTTCATCGCTGAGATACAGTGGTGTAGCTTTTTCAACACCTAACTGGTAATTCTTTATGTTAGGGTCAGGGAGTCAAAGTCGTTTGCTTCAGAAACAATTTACAGTTGTTTTTTTCATGCAAAAGCTTTCTTTGCATTGCTTATGGACAAAATACTTGCTTGACGAGCTCAGTTTAAGAGCATTTCTTGGTCAGCTTGGTTTCTTTCTCATAAGTTTTGCTTTAGACATATAATAGTATCTGATAGATCGCAGTCAAAATGCGATCATCCTGTCATGCTTGCACTCCATGCTTACGACATTGTCCTGTCCTATCTTTGGTTTTGATGTTTCAGGCACTGGACACATTCAACACTGCAATTGTGTCGCCTATCTACTATGTTATGTTCACGACCCTTACAATCCTTGCCAGCGTTATAATGTTTAAGGTATGGAAAGGCACGATGCTCATTTTCATTTCATAGCGGCTTTGCTTATTCGACCTTCTAGTCTCTAGTGGAGTGGTGTCCTCGAGAGAGGATAGGCTAGCTGAAAACGGGAGCTGCAGCCACCCACCCCCACAATCCAATTATCTCGTTTTGAATCTGCACATTTCTAATACAGGATGTGCACGAGTTGACTAGTTACATAAGTTATATTTTGGGTTTTATTTGTTAAGACATGTTTACTTAAACATGTAGTCTTATAGTCTGTTAGTTGTAGTGTACTGTGTTGTAGTTACTAATATCGGCCATTTCCGTTCTAGGACTGGGATGGTCAGAGCGGTGGGGACATCATTTCAGAGATATGTGGTTTCATCGTTGTGCTCTCTGGGACCATATTGTTGCACACAACCAAGGATTTCGAAAGGAGTTCGTCCTTCAGAGGTGCGAAACTCGCTATTATTCTTTGTTTGAACCTTCATTTTCCGTTCTCTTTTAGTCCGATCAGATCATGTCATGTAACATTATAAGCAAATGCAGGTAACTTTGCGCCCGTGTCGTCTACCCTATCGACCCGGCTCTGCAGCGGAAACGGCGATTCCAAATATGACGAGGAAGGGGCACCACCACCCGAGGAAGTTTGCATGAGAAGACAATAGCGGTACTTCTTAGATGGTTTCTCGAGAAGAAATAATGGTCACTTCACTTCAAATTTACAAACTAAGCGGGAGGTAAGATGTACGGAATGCCCGTGATGATTCTTGCTCCAATTGCATCCGAATTCCAAAACATGCCGAGCCACCACGCGGCGCCCCTCAGCTCTCAGGTGTGGATTAGGTTTACTAATGATACTGCAGTTGTGGAGGCTTGTACAGCCAGTGAGTGAAGTGAAGGAAGCAAGATGTCGAAAAGAGTTGGGATCTTCAAGGCGATGCAAAAGCACACATTGTCATTCATCGGACGAGCCGAGTCTAATCCTCAAGCAGAACACGGAGCTGTCTCGAGCCCCGAGCGAACGGCGGTCGCTCTCGCACGAACCTTTTCTCGGGCACGCCCCCGGTATTGGGAAAAAAGCAACGACACTATGTGAATGAATGCCAGTTAGCTATTCTTTTCCTCCAGCAGATGACAGGGTGTTTTTGTTAGATGGATTGAGATTGATTCGTGTGGATAGAGAATTCTTTTCAAGATCGAGGTAGCTTGCCTTGTAAGTTCCAGCAAATGCTTCTAATCTGTTGTCCGCGAGGGCCCAGCGGAAGCGCGATCGCTGGATTTTATGTCCTTTTTCGACTATTAGTCGAGAAAAAAAAAAGGGTTAATCCGTGAAAAACAAAGTATACGCTAAGCTTTCGATACGAAATTCCCTATAAATTGAGACACGAAAATTAGCTTGGAGCCGATGTAATAAAAAAAGGGATAAGTGCACTAAAAGTCTTAAAATTTGTTAGGAAAGTGCAATTGGGTCCTAAAATTTTCAAGAAGTGCAAAAAAGTCCTAAAACTTATTAGGAAAGTGCACTTAAGTCTTAAAACTTTCAAAAAGTGTAAACAAGTCCTAAAACTTGTCACGAAAGTGCACACAAGTTCTAAAACTTTCAAAAAGTACAATCAATGGAAGGACTTGATTGAATCAATTTGACAAGTTTTAGGATTTGTTTGCACTTTCTTGACAAGTTTTAGGACTTGTTTGCACGTTTTGAAAGTTTTAGGACTCAAGTGCACTTTCGTGACAAGTTTTAAGATTTGTTTGCACTTTTTAAAAGTTTTAGGACTCAATTGCACTTTCGTGATAAGTTTTAGGACTTTGAACGCACTTATCTCATAAAAAAAAATTAGAAACAAAAAGTAAAAAGATGTGAAATCAAAGCAAGTAAAAACACAAGGAAAATGCGTCATCGTGAAGCGAAAGCCGAAACCGGCAGCGCTACAAGAACTCCGCCACAGCCCAACCGCTCTTTCTGAAAGTGAGATTCCATATCTCTGCTCCAATTCTGAGCTGCTTATCTCGTACTTCTCTCTCTCTCTCTCTCTCTCTAGGCGGAAGAAGCAGAGAACGATGGAAGCGAAGATGAGCAACTTCTTCGGATCGGTCTCCGACTTCTTCACCGGCGCCGATCACATCCCCTGGTGCGATCGCGACGTCATCGCGGTCAGACTCTCGCTCGAACTCCTCTGTTGTTCATTCGTCGGTTCCTTCTTGAATCGTGTAGCTATCGGAAGCTGAAACTCGCGTCCTTCTTAGTTGAACGACCTTGAACGCCGTGCTTTGCTCGCGAAACAGTTGATCGGTACTATGTTTTTGTTCGCTGCGGCGTCGGTCGGTAGTATTTTGAGAGTGTAGTGCCTGAAAACTACCGGATGTGGATGTGATTGAGAATAGAGGTACCGTTTAGAGAGCATAGCGAAGGACTGCGAAGTATAGCCCGAGCGGCTGGGGATTGCTTATCTATTGCCCTTTTTCTCAGTGATGTATGGGCTCTGCTTCGTGAACATATGATGGGGAAGCTTGGAAAATTTGAAAGTGTTAGCTCCGGCTATTACGGCGGTTGGTGGCTTTACAGCGAGTAATCGAGCGACACAACGAATCTTTCGTGAGATCGCCGCGAATGGTGTAATAATAGTTGCGTAGAGATGGGAAGTGTAAAGGACCACGATGATAGTAGATGAGCTTAGGTAATAGATCCACGCATTTGGACTCACTTGAATCGGCTCGCTGGCATTTGCATATGGATTCTGTCGTGAGCTGATTCCTTGGTTTCATTTTGTTGTATCGGTCTAAAGCACGCTTAGGTTATTGATGATATCGAATCATGCCGTGTTGCTTGTTTGTCAGGTTTGTTGATGGTTGAGGAGACTGGAGGTTGTCATTGTTGTTCAGGATAGGAGTTGGGATGATTGGTTTTGACCAGTGATGTTGTATACTCTTTGTCAGTGCTTTTATTTGAAACTTCGTGCCGTATCTCCATGTCGTGCTTATTTGCTGTTTTGTGTTGCTTTCACTGTCCTCTTTTGCTCAGGGTCATTCTGCCTGAATAGTCATAAACTTCCTCCTGTAGCATCAACAAATATCTATCAAAAGTGATTAGACTTCATTCGAACGGAACGTTCTTATTGACTCTTGTTCAAGCTTTTAGTTACTAGGCAATTGCTAACTTTCCGCCTCTTGATATGAAAAATCTCTTGCTCATTATAGCTGGCGTATATGATCTTCATTTCTTTTTGTTGTTCCCATTAAAACTTTCTCTTGATTAGGGTTGTGAGCAAGAAGTTGCCGAGGCTGAAAAAGGTTCATCTGATGAGCTTATCAGTGAATGTATTATGCGTTTATCGTGGTCACTTGTTCACTCGAGGCAACCAGAAGATGTCCAGCGTGGAATAGCAATGCTTGAAGGTAAAGAGTGGGCTGTCTCATTGTTATGGCTAGGTTCCATAGTGGCAGTTTTGTTAGAAGTATGGATCGATTACACGTAGGTATACTTTATGTAATTTCTAATTGGATAATTTTGTGACTGACATCTATCTGCAGCTTCCATTTCTGGCACTAAGAGTCCTTTGCAATTGAGAGAGCAGCTTTATCTTCTAGCTGTTGGTTATTACAGAAGTGGAGACTACACAAGGAGCAGGGACCTTGTGGAGCAGTGTCTGCGGGTCAGGCTTAAGTCTTTCATATCTGATAGCATGATTAGAGTCCTTATGTATATTGCTGCTTGCTTCAGATTGCATCTTAACCCTTAACAATATATTGCATTCTCACTCCTCAATCTCTTCGTTTATCATTGCTGTCTGGACATCAAAAATTGTTTTAACAAGTGTTGAAACACCAGTCATTTACTCCAAATGCTTAAATTCATCTGATTCTCGAATAATTTAGAGGACAATGAATGAACAATTCAACTTCTTGATGTATGATTGTTGTCTTGGTATGATATTGCTGTTAGTTACTTTATGTTCTTCATCAGATCTTTCAACAGTAGGTTTTCATATATGGGTGATATAGGACATTTACGCGATGCATCAATTACTTGATTGTCGGACAAGTTGTTAGAATTCTTATGACATATTTAACCAAATTCTACCTCAGATTGCTCCTGATTGGAGACAGGCCCTCACGCTTAAGAAAACAATCGAAGACCGTATTACAAAGGGTAAGGATCAAATGACCGATTATTATGCTCCCAGTTTGTTCCAAGTGTAGAAATCTCTGACTATCCTACCTTGTTTGATTGTAGATGGGATAATTGGCATTGGCATCGCTGCTACTGCTGTAGGATTGCTGGCAGGTGGACTTGCTGCAGTTCTCTCAAGGAAGAAATGACCCACGCACGGTCGCCCTTCAGTACTCTGTTCATATGAACGATCCATGCTAAAGTTTGTTAAATTTTTTTTCTCTCATGTTCTTCGCTAACCTCACTAGTGATGTGGTAAGTAAACCGTCTACTTTGATGAAGTTTTGTTACTTGTAGTTTGTTTAATGGACAGTGTGAGGTAAAAGTAGTTCTTTGAAATGTCTCTCTTTGCTCACCTGAACAAAAGTATGTGACGAGCTTGTGCTGCCCACTTGTTCTCTGTTCTCTTGTTCTTTTTTCTCTATCCAAGATATTGCCCATTTAGCAGAGAAATCAGCAACTCTGGACCTTCCACCATTGCTCATCTTGTATTGCGCGATGCCATTTGGAGTCTTTACAATTGAAATGTTGTATCAGGGACTTGTTACTTGTATCTTTGACCATCCCCGGTTGAGCCTTTCTCATGAAAGCTATATATTGACTATTGAAGTTCCTCGCTACCATCTTCTCTCCAATCTTCCGTGTGCCCCCCTCCCCTTTCTGTTCCACAATGTTCTCGACTAGCAGGCGTTGGTTGGAGCAAATGCGCTCTTTAGTAAATTTAAAATGCACCTCCTATCGGATGTTACTGGGAGTTCTTACCTTTTCCGCTCGTCTGCTCAGATGCATTGAACGTCCAACGACAAGAAAACCTACGCCAATCCACGGCTAGTGCCATTTGGAGGCTTTGTCGATAGTTCATGCTTCCATTCTGTTCGGACACTCAACTAGTCAATTTCTGTTGTAGCAAGTAGCCAGGATGGGAAAATGCACTTTCGCAGCCGAATTTGACAATACAATCTGATCATCATCGAGACAAAATCAAACGTAGCAGCTACTTCGGCCAAGCCACACCAACAGGATGCACAGGCTCCAGCCTTGTTCTTGTCGAGTGCAGTTAACATCGAGTTTGAAACTCATACTCCCACCAATTTAGCGGAGACCACTGTAGTAACACCAATTTTTTTCCTTTGTGCTGACATTTCTAAAGCATGGAAGTGAAGAATCCAAGAATGTCGAAGGGCCAACCAACAACTTCAGAGGCAAATTGTTAGTCTTTGAGAGTTCAAAAATTTAAAAATAAAATGAGACTTCTACAATCCCAACAGGTCTGGAAACTACAGCGACTAAAGCATTAAGTACTGTGTCAGAACAGCAGAAATTTTTTCTTCAGCTCTTCCCAATCCTTCGCCACCCGCTCAATGTCCCTCTCGGCCTTCCTCTTTTTAAGACTCCACTTCGCTTCTTCTTCAAAGTACTGCCTGAAAAGCACCCCCTTCTCTTCGGTCTCCTTGTACAGTCTCTTCATCTCGAATGAGTTTTCCACTTTCGCTTCCTTCTCCTTCTTCAGCTGGGCTTGCAGCTTGCTGATCTTGGCTTCGAGGCTCTCGATCTTCTTGTCGCATTCTGTATCGATCTTCTGTAGCCTTTCGAAATGAATGGTCTTCTCGTCAAGCTCAGCCTGCAGGGAATCTTTCAAAACGAACATCTCAGTGACTTCCCGTATATCGGTTTGTGCACGTTTGAAGTCCAAACAAAGAAAAGAAATCTGCTTGCAGATTCTGTAGAGAGCTGAGCATCCGTTAGGCGGGTGGCTCTTGTCGGACAGAAGAGCAGAGATCGCTTGCTCTAATCTATTTGAGAAATCGGGGTCAGACAGCGATTTGAAATCCATGGACTTCAAGCTCTCGAACACAGTCCTAGCCTTCTGAGTCTCCTCATCATTAGATTTGATGAGACTGGCAAGTTCTGCCTCTGCAGAGACTTCAACAGGCTTTCCGTTGATGAGTTGTCTCATGTTCGATAGCCATGTTTTCAAGTCCTCGCTCTCAGAGAGCGTGACAGTGCTGCTGGTAGCAATCTGGAAATACCCCAACACATTTAAACGGGAAAATGCCATAAGTGAAAAAAGATGAAAATGCACTAGCTTTAATTCCAGAACATATGCATATCAAAGTAAAGAAAGTACCATGTCGACGGATTTAGATGAATCAAAGGTAGTATCTGAGGTGGCTGAACTTTCAGCTGATCCTTCTGCCTTTTCCACTGTAGTCTTGTCAGAAACCTCCTCGACACAAATGGCAGATTTAGAGAGATCAAGAAGTATATTTTCAGTTGGCTCCTGCTTGAGATCTTCTTCCATATCATGCCGAGGACTGGACATTCCATTCCCACTCCGCAGTGACAGCTGAAAGGACGGAAAATTCAGAAAATATGCTCATAACAAAAAATAAACAGCCATGATGAAGTACCTCAAACTCCAAAGACTCGCTTTCTTTAAGAGGCGATGACCTTGCACCTGGTGATAAGGAACTACTGGTCTTCGAATGCTTTTTTGGACGCTCATCTACTAAAACCATCGAAAAACTGCCGAGATGGAGATCGGCGGACAGTGGCTCATTTAAGGTTGAAGCATCTGCAGAGGAATATAGATACAAAAAGCATGAGGTTGCAATGACTTGCCATGAATACATTTGTTTCATTGACATATGGTAGCCAGTTCACAAGCCAGAAAAGATGGTAATAGCATGAAGGTCACTCAAATACTAGCCATTCTGCGGATTAAATGCCACTCAAGATGCTTCCAACCGTTTTCTTGAACAGTACCAGCACAAGCATCTTAGCTTCCATTAGGATTCATGCAATTCCAATGGTGTATTTCATGTTCATCAGCATTCAGCAGGTACACTCAGCTTTTCAGCAGCATAGCCAAATTCTGGTAGATCTGATCCCTAGGAGAGGCTTCTTTAGAATTCATGAACTAATAAGGAGAACCAAAACACCAATAAGACATTTCTCTCTACCTCCAGGTTTGAACAACTAATTGATTTGGAGACTGTAATGCCAGAATCAGGAGATTGTACAGGTTCAGGATATGCTCAAGAAAAGCTTTTCATGTTTTTGCGTGGAGGTCAGCTTTTGTTGGCAACAGTACTTCCAAGAGAAGTTCCCTATGATAGAGTCCAGTTGGCAGAGTAAACCCAAGCAACAGAATAAACTCAGAGACCAACAGGGAAAACTTAATATTACCAACAGCCAGTTATGCTTCCGACGTGACTCACTTGAGTCAGATCTAGAGCCTACAATGGAAGATGAGATCTCAAACCAATTAGTTTATGCTCAAGAATAAAATGGGACAATGTTGATCTTTACTCTTCTTTAGCAGATGCAAATGGGAGCTCTAGGATAGCGCCAACAAAAAGTATACTGTTGATATCCTCACGGAAATATCATAGATCAATAAGCCTAAACTATAACCAGAGCTCATCATACTTGTCCTAATGGCATAAAGAGGTTCCCAGATAACTGAATTTCAAAGTTATTTCGATGCAGCTACACCATGCCCTACAGCTCTGCACCTTTCCTGCTTTCCCCCTCAAGTCTTTTCCTTTTTTTTTTCCTTAGCTTAAATATTAGAATGCACAACCGAAAATATTTTCGTGATACCTTCCACCACATTCCTTCGAAACCTTCCCGGTTTCCTACAAGATCACTTCAATTTTTAATCATGCTCATCAGCCTTCAAAAACCACCTTCCGCTTGAGCCACCGCTCAAACACTATGTGCAGTAAATTTACCACCTAATCTCCAAGAAACCACAGCAAATAAGTACCCGTTGAACAAAACAAAAATCAAACACAAAACCCAAATTGGGTACACCCCAAAAACCACAAAGATGGATAATTTACAGAGAAAAGTCAGACCTTTCTCAGGAGCAGCAACAGTGGTGGAAGAAGAAGAGTCCTTGGAGGAGTCCTTGGAACTCAAACCGAGAGGGAAATTCAACCTCGCAAAAGAGCCATACATTGCACTCGCGGCCTTGTCATAGGCAAGAGCAGCCTCAAGCGCCGTCGGGAACGTCCCGAGCCAGAGCCTGCTCCCTCGGCTCGGCTCTCGAATCTCGGCCACCCACTTCCCCCACGTCCTCTGCCTCACCCCTCTGTAATTGCACCTCAGATTCTCCGGCCCCCCTTTGCCCTTCATGCAGCCTTTCTTCGACCCTTTCGCATGCACCCTCCGGGTCGGCACCTGGACCGGCACCGCGACCGCCGCCGCCCCCCCCGCCGGCCGCGGCGGCGGGGGGGGGGAGGCGGCGGCGGCGGCTGCGACGACGTCGAGGATTTCGGGCTGGACCCAGATGGGGAATCGCCGCCGCCCTGGATGCACGAGTTGACCTTGTCGTTGTACTGCTTCCATTTCGCGAGGATCTCGGCGGCGGATTTGGAGATTTGGTCGATCGAAGACGCGCCGGAATCCATCTCTCTCCCCGGGGGCGGCGCAATTGGGCTCGAAGGAAGGAAGGAAGAGAGAGAGAGAGAGAGAGAGAGGAGAGAGGACGGAGGAGGGTCAGTGATCCGAGCAGCGCGAGAGAGGGAGGCGGCGGGGGAATCGCGGCGGGCCGCGGGGGAGGGAGGGCATTGGATCGTCGCCGGCGGGCGGCGGCGCACCGCCTTCACTGTCGGTGGGGTGGGGGGAAGAGACGGTAAATAAGGAGGGGAGCCGCCTCTGTTTTGGGACTTTTTGCGAGGGAGTGGAGAGTCACATGTGGTGGTGAATTTGCGGTTTTAAGACCCAAAACAAAAAAAATTGTGAGTCATTGACTTGGCAAAGTCTTTTGGCTTTTTTGGTCCTTTTCTTTTGTTCCCGGTGACACGTCATATTTAGCCGGGGGGGGTTTGTTGATCGTTATTTTATTTTATTTTTTCCTCGAATTAATTCAGGCTTTTTTTTTTTTGGAAGTTTTTGAAACATTTGTTTGTTTGGGCAGGAGTGGCGATAAGTACTAGGAACTAGGAAGCAAGCTGTTCTGCAAAGGACCGTGATTAAAGAGCTAAAATTAAGATTAAAGAACTAAAAAAGATTATCTTCTTTTCGTGATCTGGAATCTTGGACTATGAAAATGTAGAGAGAGAGAGAGAGAGAGAGGAGAAAGTGACGTCAACATTGTCTGTTATAATGGAGGGGAAAAATGCATGTTTGATTCATGAAGATTCGAGATCCGATTGAATGAACAAAAAGACTTATTGCATCTGCAACTTCACATCAAAAGGAAAGTTGGGTAATCTCCATATTTTTCCAAAGAAATGCCTGTTGAGTGGCAACAATGAGATTTTTCATTTTTCCTTTTTGGATATCCTATCTGTATTGATTGTATAGAGTGACATCTATATCCGCATGATTTGAGATATTGGCTGTTTCACAGTGTCTGTCTGAAAAAGGTATGTTTGATGTCTGACACTGGTCCCTTAGATACTCAGGAATAACTGCAATAAGTGCAATCCATGGTAAGATTTGGTGAAAAAGAGGGCGGTAAAGGCAATGCCATCAGCATGTAGGTGCCGAGATTTCACACCGATACAGTTATAAGCACTTTTGTCCTCCTCCAATTAAAGAGTTCATTGATATCAGGCATCCTCAAGATTCTCAAAAGTCGTCATCCGGGCCAATACACCAGCAAAGGCTTTCCAACTCGAGAACTGGCGAATCCCCATTACTGAAACAAGGTGTCTTTTCCCACTTTGGGTATGGAAGGGAAAGTCAAAATTCAAGCCATGGAGAAAAGGGGAAAAAAATCAATCATTTGGCAGTGCTAACTATGTTGTACTTGGACGCAATGCGACTCCACTTATTCTATCTAAAAAAACACCGCTGCGAAGGAAGAATCCTCTAAATGTCTTCACTCCCAAGTAAAGTCAGAAGGAAGTCCTTGAAGTCTCCTGAGGTGTTGTTGGCCACGGCTTCCTCGAGAGAAGTGCTGTTTCTCTTGAAGAAAAGCTCTTTGATCTCCCCCATGTCCTTCTCTGCGCAGGTGACGATGACTCTGCTAAGAGCGTCTTCGTCGGTTACGACCGCATTCACGGCAGTGCGAAGCACCTGCGTACACGCGAGTTCTGATGTTAGAACTTCGGGGACTGGTATGAAGTTTTAAGAGAAATTGGCGGAGCCGTTGACATGAAACAATTTGATCTTTTGTTATTGGCATGACATTCACTTACCTTTGCAAGGTATCTCTTCGGGTCCTTGATGCATCTGACAGCGGTCCGTAGTCCCGCTAGATACTCGTTTGCCGGGTCTCCTGACAATCCCTGTGAAAGATTGAATTCCATTACTGGCTTATCGCGCTTTTACTACATGGAATGCTATTTGATGAAATTTTCTTCTTATTGGTATGATAGGGAAATGTCTGACGAATTTCTCGACCAAGCTTAGTGCCATTTCAAAAGTCTAGTACTGAATTTCAAAGAGCAAGTGTCATTTTTCCTCTTGTTTGTAATCTGATGCACTTTTTCTCCTTTGGCGTAGAATTGTGTACCTGGGTGATAGAAGTGCCATGGATGTCTCTGTAGTGATTGAAGGTTGAATTGAGCTGCACCTTGCTTCTTGTACTCAAAATTCTGTTCAGCTCTTCATGGTTAAAAGCATTCCCATGGATTTCGTCATGAAGAATACTCGCTTCCAATTTAACCATTTCCTTATCAATGTCATCACCATCATATCTATAAGCACTCGCTAAAGCGACGAGTATCTACGCAACAACCATAGAGCCAATAGAGGAAAAAAAGTCATACTTTAACTTTGATGTTTCTCATATTGAACTATTCTTTTAGTCTTAATGCCTTGATAGAAAAGCACAAATCATGGGCTCTGAGAAGTTACTTTTCGAACATCTCCACTGGTGTGAGCGGCCACATCCTCTTCCAAGGAACGCCTGTACCGGAATTTGTACGCTCTCCTAATTCCCAACAGCTCCTCTGGGGACTTGAGACATGCGATCTCTACAATGACCCGATGATCGGGTGTCGCCTTCTTCAGCGCCAAGTTAGCAAACACCGCGTCCCGATCAGCCGGGTCCAAGATCCAGTGGCACACAGCTCTCTGCCGCGACATTTTTATCACTCGTTCAAAGAGAAGCAAGGAATTCACGGTGCTTAAACAACATCGATCCAAATCGAATATATTCAGGCCGGGTTAGCCGCGACGCAAAATGGGATGGGGCATGTACAGAGGCGGGATCGCATCACGGACCTCAAAATGACCAGAGAGCTCAGACTGGAGTTGCCTGATGAGGTCTTCGTGGTAGACTTCCTCATAGGCCAACCTGATGAGCCTTCTCTGGAACATGTTCCTGTGTCCTAGGACTGAGATTATGGCCCTCTCATCCGTTCCCCATCCTATCAAAAGAACAAAGGAAAGAGACCATGGAGGAGGACAGACGAACATAACCTCTAATGATACTTCAATGCTTTTTACAAAGGCAAGTGGTTTTGAAACATACAGCAGAAGCATTAAAGTCAGGTCTGAGAAATGGGACATGTCTGCCTCAGTAACATAATCAAACCAAGCCGATGCAAAAGTAAACCAACAATGCGAAAAACGCCGAGTAAGAGCGGAGGAAGGGGGTGTGAAACGAGACCTTGGCAAGCCTTCTTGATGGCCTCCGCATCGTCAACAGGAGAGAAGTCCTTGGGAGCAACCAGCGTGCCCATCTTTTCATTTCATTTGAAACTGAAGCTAGACCACATTTCATTGACCCTTTTTTTATAGTTGTTTTGTTAGAGTTAATCAATGACGATAATAATTAATATCCAGGCGTTTTGTCAAGTAATCAGTTTCCCGAAAATAAATCCATAATACACGGATTGTAACGTGAAAGGTTTATCTTGGGTTGAAAAAGTATTAATTGTTTCACGATTGGTAAAAGGTCAAACGCGGGACTCCATGGCCCAATGGATAAGGCGCTGGTCTACGGAACCAGAGATTCTGGGTTCGATCCCCAGTGGAGTCGCTCTTCACTCCCTTTTAGGTTTTGACTCCCTTATTCAGATTGCAAATGAAGCTTGGTTGCCTTCTTTTTGATGCCTTTACGTCCCTAAACAGGGCATGTCACGTTGCCGAGTAAAGCGAGCGAGGAAGACCGCGCAAATTTCACCGACCGCCTAACGTTTCGCGGTCACATATGCAAAAGCAATTGATGAAAATGATGATCTGCGCTAACCGCACAGCAGATAAGCTCCTTGGGGAAGCTCCCCATGCTGCTGTTTAATCTCGAGCCCCGACTTCGGTTTTCATTTCATGAGAAGTTCTGAGAAAGGCGATTCGATGAATTCCGCCGGTCCACTGTCTGCATTGTTCGAAACTACCGGATCAAACGCCGAAGGGAAGACCCCTAATGTTTTCTTTAAAAGCTCAGCACCAAATCTTTCCTCGTCAAAAGCCCTGTCAAAAACCCTATTTGCATCCGAAGGGGAAGGATGGGAACATGATGATCAAGTACTTCGATGCTAACTGTAGCAGAAACGAAACGCCAGAATCTGACAGCATCGTTCTATGACAACCGGGCTTTGCTATGGTTCAAAGACTCCCATTGATGCTGATAAAACCATTTCCGGAGAGACGAGCGAAAGTTAGTTTTGATACAACTGCAGTGACTCTTCGGGCGGATGTCGAGGAGCTCTGCAGGAGGAGGGTGTCAATGAAGATAATATGATCTCTTGAATAGAACTTCAATGTTATATGAGAATGGGGAAGCGATGAATATACCAAGAGCACAACAGCACAAGCCAGACTTGTTATTGCCTTGTTCGCTCGCTCTTGCCTGTCTTTTGCATATCGCCCAGCTTGTTTTTCATTTACATGTTCAGTCTGATCATCACGTCAAAGCTCTGCGAGTTACTCAAGTGATAAGCTTATTCATACTTCTCAATATCTATTCAAATCACTGCACTGAGCATCGACACGCACTCCGAGTTCCGCAAGGCAGCAGAGGACAACCTGCTTAACGAAAGAGTAAAATTTCTACAACCCAGATCTAGCTTTTCAGCCTCCACTTTCTCCCCTCGCTTCGTGCCAGATCTCTCAAGGAAAAAATGCAAAATGTATTTAATAAAATATTATTAAATCCCACAATTTAATTGTGAATACAGTTGATGAACAATGTCCCCAACTCTGTAGGCAAAACGATTACAGTGTCATCAGTCTATCCCTACAGGCTACAAGCAAACCCAGAGTCAGAGGTAACAAGAGAAATATACAAAGATCAATGCAAACAAAATTTGTTCTTCCCTTCTCAAATAAAACACGAACACAGAATCTAGTTTTCCCCTATTTTTGTGATGAATCAAGAAATGTCATCTGCAGATCTGTCCGCTGACCGATATCATTAACTGAACAACCATTCGCACATTGAATGGAGTCCAGGCAAAACCTGAAGTTATACCCGTTGGTCAAAGAAAGCATTGATTTACTGGATAAGCAGGACACCGAACAACTGGATAATTTCCTGAAAAGGGGAAATAATATTTCCAGGATCATAATCTCTAGAAATAATACCACAAGCACATAAACACTCCTCTACGGCACATCAGAGAACACAATAATGCTGTCTTCAATGATTTCTCCAATTTACACTGCAGATATTTCTTGTAAACTCATAAAAGAAAAACAATCTCCTAAACACACTCTTAGTGGCATCTCTCTTCACTGACGGACGATAGTGACGGACTAAATGACAATGCTGGAAAACTGGCATCATGAAACATGTTTCCAAGTTTCAACGACGTAACAACTTTCAACAGATCGTTCACCAGCCAAGAACTTTTGCAACTTAAATAAAGTTTTGACAGAAAAACTAGAAACCAAATACAGTACAAAATTCAGTAACTTTTCTAATAAAGCAATATATCAATCGTATTCAAAGTAAAACAAGCAATGAACCAGATCACATCCTGTGTACTTAAATAGGACCAAAAAAAAAAATGCCACAGATATTGATTAAACATGAAAAGAACTAAACACGGACACCGATTAGGCAACACGTAACATACCTGTACTTCATGCATTCTGCTGACCCTGGGGGTACATTTGAAGCACCCGATCAACATAACCATTGGTGCCCCCATCTGGTCCTCAACCAGATTTGGAAGGAGAAGAAACCCTTTTCCTTAGCTGCTCACCTTGTCTTAAAAGATGACACAACTGATGGTAGGAAGGATCGGTCTCCCTCAGTTTCTTAAGCAGGGCAAAGAGCCTTTTAGATATTTCATGGTTGAGGTCCGTGAAGTTATCCTGATTCTAATGATCAAAACGAAAGTCAAGAATAATTAGGAAGAAGGCAGTAAACCAATTTAACATTACATATTAAAGGAAATTAAGACAGAACAGCAGAACAAAACAATGGGGACACCTAATTGTTTACAGCGAAGTTCAGGAAAGTACAACATATTTACAAAGAACCTATCCATTTAGATAGTTGACCAAACTCACGTAAACAGTGTTCTACTTTGCTTCAAAGAGAAAATAGGAAAAGATAACCTAGAGGCCCCATACAGTAAGGTAGAATCCTCACATACCGAAAAGGAGTAAAGTCGATCTCCAGCAACAAGTATCACAATAAAACTTAGTTGCCACTTCACTCATCCAAAAGAAAGAACTCCTAGTTGCTACTCATCCAGTTGAAAGTCTCCCAGTGTTAATCTTTTCCTTCACGGTAAATTCTAGACAGAGTATACGTGACAAATTACCCAACATTTATTCCAAATTGCACCCGTTCTCTATCCATTAAACTCTACGCATACAATCAAACAAACATTAAACGATTAGGCCATAAATTAATTCACAAAAGCATCTTATCTCCCATCATTGCCCCAACAAAAAGCTTCTAAACCAAAAACAAAAAGATTAGGGAACTAAAAGAGTCCCTTGACAGAATATTAATTAACAACGGTAAAAACATAAGAGATCAACTATTGTACTCTTCAACTTGCAAATCTGATGAGCTTTTTTTCCAGCCAAAAAATTCTTACATCCAAAATTACTAACCAAAAAAAAACAAATCTCTCTCTATACACCAAAATGTAATTAAAAACCTTCCCTCTCCACCATTTCTTTTTCCCCCTCATTTCTCTATACCATTAGACATAAACAAGAAATAATACCATAAATCGAAAAAAAAAAAAAAAAAAAGCAACAAAAATTTCAAACACTATAATGAATCGTTGTATCAGACCATCATCAGAATGGGACGATGGCCTAGCTGTGAGCAAAATCGTAGGACTTCCTCATCAAATCCTCCGGCCACGAGCCTTGGAGCAGCTTCAGCAGGAGCTGGGCCTTTCTCTTCACCTTCTCCATGCTGTCGCTCTGCACCAGCAGCAGTAGCTGCGTAACCATGCCGGCGGAGACCACGTTCCTCCGGCACTGCTCCGACACAGCGCCAGCATAGCCTCCACCACGTACTCTGTTGCCCAGTCTGACACCTTCAGGATCATCCACACCAGCAGCAGGGCGCTCAAAGCGTGCAGACTAGAATAAAATAATCAATCTTATTTTTGGTATAAAAAGATAAAATGAAAAGCTAAAATGTGAAATCGTGTACAGAATTTGAGAAGTTTCTCTCTAATAAAGGTAGTTAAAGAAAATGGATAATGATCGGAAAATGAGTGAATGGGAAGACATGCGAAACTATGGTGCAAGAAGATTGGGCAGAATACGAGCCTTTTTTGTTTCCAAGGCAATTGGAGTTTTCAAGAAATGGACAAGGCATGTTTGGAAAATGCTCTTCCAATTTTTATAGGACAGGGATGGGTAAAGGGATCTACATAATATCTATTTTCACAATAGCTGACTCAAAATTTATCACAGCACGCAAAAACTACATCATGGAAGGTCCTTTATCTAGCATCTTACCTTTAGTGAAACCGACTAGCTTTGTGTCATGAGGCCTTTTTCCTTTCTTAGTGAGTGTTCTAGGGAAAGCTGCCAAAAATTTTGGATCTGCTCAAGCCTTCGGCATCACAATAATTGGACAACCATAAAACTGCAGAATGGTTGATTGTAAGCTCAGCAGATTCGGAGAAGATAGATTTTCTGTCGATGCTTTCGACTTTCTTAGAGAACTCAGCTAAGCTATTAAACAACAATGAAGCATGAGACACAGCCCACATTTGCAAGACGGCAGCAGAAAAGTTATGAAACATGTTATTAGGTAACAGCAGGATTGCCCCAACAAGCTCGGATGTAGGCAATCGAGAACAGCATAAATCTAAAAGGCCTCCCACTGCAATAGCACCCTTATCCGCATCTATTTCACCTGAGCAAAAGAATTTTAAGATCAACTTCTCTAATTGGACCTGAGAAGCCACAAGTTCCAGCCTAATCAGACTCCAGAACTTATGTTGCTCATCAGCTCCCCAGTGAAGAGAGCTTTGGATTAAATCATGAACAGTTTCCACATTCTCCCCCACTATGGATAGCTTCCTTTGCCCAATGTCAAACTTGATATTGACGATATCACCATCATTCAAGTGACTCACAAGTAATCTGATGACATGCTCCTCGCCAATGGATAAATCAGAAAGCTGAGTAAAGACACTGTGGTACAAAAACTGCGATTTTACCCCCTTCCACTCTGAGCAAGACAATACATCAAAAACCAGAAGCTCGGAGAGAGTTCTATCAGCTTCTTTAGGTAAGATGGTCGTTAGACGTAAAATGTAATGTCTGTAAGCAAAAAAAGCATCCCGTACCAATGTAACAGTTAACTCTCTGTCTATTACAGCTGCAGAGATAAGCGGTGCAGGAAAGTTCTTTCGCCTTTTATCTGAAAAGGCGAGATAACGATCAAGGTGGCCCATCAGGAATGGCACCCGGGTGTTGATCAACTTGTGAAGACTATCTCCCATGAGTTCACGAACCATATGATTTGCCATGTCTGCCTCATAAGCTAGTCTTGATGCATAATACAACAAGTGTGCTCCCACAGGAAAACCATTCCTCGACCAAAACAAAAGCATTTGAACTAACCTTTCGCTCTTAGAAAAGAGATATTTACAGATAATTAATGTTGTGGGAGACTTGCATTCATCAACATCGAGATCATCTTTTGGACGCTCGAGCGGTGCAAAGAGTTTGTATCCATTCGACTCTAGTTCCCTTGCTATAGTTAACGATAAAACCTCGGGAGATACTGAACAATGTGTGGGCAAGTCACTGCCAACATTAATATACATATCAAGAATTTGCTCTAAAGCCTGAAGACATGATTCATTTGAGTTCATAATTGCTTTGCTGAGACGTTCAACCAATTTTTGGATATCATTTTCCTGAATTTCCGAAGTGATTGTCAAGAATTTCGAAGGAAAGGAAGCAGAAGTATCAACTGACTTGGCCCCAACTTCATCGTTCTGGACGTAGGTAACATGTTCTTCAGGTAAAGCTGTTCCGACCTCCATGGGAATTAAACGACCAAGATTTTTAGCTGGTTGTATTTTTTCAGCAATCCCGAATCTCGTACCAGATAAGAAACACCTAAGCTTCTCCTTCAGAGGTGGAGAGAGTGTTTCAGCTGATGTCAAATTTTCAAGATTGCAACTCACTCCTTTGTTAATGAGCAGACTAAAAGATGATGAAACTCCGCTAGATATCATATCCTTGCGTTCCACGTCATAGTTATCCACGAGAAGAAACAAAAATTCAAGGAGAGTGTGCGTTAGTTCGATATAGTCAGGTATAGAATGAACCATTAACGACAATGCCGGTTCAATGTTCATCATCTTATCCACTCTTTCATCAAAGAAAAGCCAATCATAAAATAAGGCCAACTTCGCATTGGCTTCAACATAAATCTTCCTGCAAGACTTAAGAAGCCAACCAATGACAGCCCACCTCGGGATAATATTCGAGTGAATGATTTCTTGAGATGGGTGGTGTGCACAACATACGAAGCGAACAATATCAACTATAAGAGTCTCCCTATCCGGAGTGCAAAAGAACTTGCTGGCAAACCAGGTTTGATGCCGCTTTTGGTTCCCAAGCTTCACGTGCGTGAGCAGAAACCTTAATTGCCTTTCCGCCTCTGGGGTAAGTCGAAGCAAAAAATAACGACTTGAAGTCCTCATGGAATACAACTGCGCAATGTCCGAAAATCCAGCAACCCCAAACTCTCCTGGGTTAGAAACCAAATCCCTCCATATTGCTCGAAACTCGGGCACATGGACCAAATCTTGCAACAACCGTATTAAATCCCTCCCAATCTTCAGACACAAACCAAACTGCGCTCTTAACATCTTAACACAAAACTCAATTTCCAACCTCTTCAGCGCTTCCAACTTCGAATCAGCACCAGTCACCCGACAATGGTCAGCCAATAACCTCAGAAAGCTATACAGCGCACTAGTCAAAACCGACGGATCCTCTTCTACCAAGCAGTCCCATTTACCCAAAAACAGGCTCACCATCTCGAAACACAACCACAGATTCCCGCCGCGAAAATCGCCCCCGACAATTTGCCTCAACAGCGAGACCAGCAATTCGCCAAACCCTACTGCAGAAACATCGACCATCTCGCCAGCGGCCCACAAGACCTGAGCTTTCGCCGTCTCGGCGAGCTTATCGTACAGCTCGTTCACAATTCGAGCCAGCAGATTCACGAAGAGCGCGTACCCGTCGGTGACGATGGCGTGCAGGTGCTTGACGTGGGTTTTGGCGAGATGGGTCTCGGTCAGAGCTCCGTAGAGGATGGCCCGGGTGAGATCGGAGTACTCGTCGGAGGTCGGGATTTCGAGGGGGAAAGGCGGCCGGAGCTTGGGCTCGAGGAGGCGGAAGGCCTGGCGGAGAGAGAGCTCGAGGCGGTTCTCCGCTTCGTGAGGCGCGAGCTGGAGTAGCTTCGCGCCCATGGCATGCCCGAAGAAGAAGGAGAAGAAGAAGAAGAAGAAGAAGGAAATACTTAACGGTCGGCAGTGTGCGTAGCAAGTTGTGAAGGCTTAAGGTTTGAAGAAGAAGAAGAAAACGAATGCCGCCGCCGTGGCCGAGGGCGACGGGGCTCGCGACGGTCGTCGAAAAGGAGATGTTGGCTCGATTCATTTCCTCTTTTATTTTTATTTTTTCAGGAAAAATGACACAACTAGCCTTTGGACTTTGACTTAACAAGTAACGCGATTCCTAATTTTTAATTTGTTCAATGTGTTCCATAAACTTTAAACCAATGTGCAATATAACCTCGGAACTTTTAGTTTGTTCAATGTAATCCGTAAACTTTTGATACATGTTCAATTTAATCCATAAACTATATGAAAATGTCCAATGTAATCCTTCCATTATTTTAAGATCAAGGACTAAGGACTAAGAATTCAGGGACCACATTGAACATTATGATAAAGTTTAGAGACCATATCGAATAAATTAAAATTTCAAAGACCATATTATACATTGAGCCAAAGCTCAACGATCATTTATATCATTATATTTTTTCAAGCTCCATTCGTTTCGCTAAAAATGTTACGTTTCTGACCCGGAAGTCATTTTCCTAGAAAATGACACAATTTTCCTGGAAAATGACACAATTTTCCGGTGTTCGGCTGAAATCTGAAAAAGTTTCGGAAAATATTTTCCGTTGTTCGGTATGAAAAAGATTTTCTTCCTTGCACTACTTTTAATAATTTTTTATTTTTTTATTTAAAAATTATTTTTAATTTTCTTTTTTCTTTTATTTTCCTTCTTCTTCTTTTTCCTCAGCCGATCGTCGACCACGGCGGCGACCGGCCAGCTCGAGCCTTGCCGGCCTGTGGTGAGGCTCCAGCTTGCTTGATCCGGCGTGGCCGAGCTCGCTCGAGGTCGACGAGCTCGACGAGGCTCGAGCCTCACCTGAGGTCGCCAGAGCCTCGCCGACGTCTGGCGAGGCCCGAGTTCGCTCGACCGGCCTTGGGTGAGCTCCGCCGCGTCGGATCAAGCGAGCCGGAGCCCCACCACAAGCCGGCGAGGCTCGAGTTGGCCAATCACCGGCCTCCGCCGTGGCCGGCGACCAGTCGAGGAAGAAGAAGAAGAAGCAAAAAAAAAAAAGAAAATAGTGAAAATAAATGGTGAAAGAAGGCTTCCGGAAAAATGTTTTCCTCTTTTGAGAAAGAGGAAGTCATTTTCCTCAAAAGTGAAGGAGTTTTGTCTATAGGAAAAAAAAATGTTTTTCGTGGGAAGTTATTTTCCGTGAAACGAATACCGGAAAATCCGAAAAATATTTTCTTGGAAGTTATTTTCTGTGAAATTGAGCATCTCTTTGTTAGTTGCAAAATTTACCTTTTCAATTTCAACTTATACGACAATATAATATCTTTTTAAAAGTTATGGCAAGGAGGATAGCCGTGGAATTGATCAACTCCAAGTAATGGACTCCAAATGATAAGCCAATTAAACATGGGCTGAGTTCGGGGCATGGGCTGATTTTTACGTGAATTTAGGCTTAGCTTCATGGGTTAGCATTAAGATGTGGAACGAAGGCAATTTGGGTCAAGATAGAACTGGCATGAACGGACCCCTCTCGAATTAGCTCCCATTTTATTTGTTATATACAAGAACGAAAATTTGAATTGCTAACCAAAATTCGGGTGTCAACAGAAATACACGAACAAAGCAATGAGCTTGTTCAAGACAATGTCTCGAAGAAACCTAAAACGTGACATTGTGACATATGGTTTGCTGATCGATGGTTCCGCAGGGTCAGTGAAATGTGCAAAGATTATCAAATATGGAATGATATGATTAACAGCTACACAAGGCCGGATCACATTTCATACGCCGTTCTAATCAACGGTTTCTTTAGCCCAGGAGCATTCTAATCACATTTCATAAGAGGGTTTTCGACCAGTCTCATTGCTTGCCACACTATAATCAAAGGTTTTTGCCGGTCCGGGAGATGTATTCCAAGGCAGACGAGTTCTTTATCGAAGTGGTCGCTAAAGGAGCTCTTCCGCATAGCATCGCTTACAACGCTCTGATCAACGGAGTTGTAAGAACAGAGGACATGGATGAAGCTGCCGATCTGGTTGACACAAGGAACACACAGGAACTGTTCCCTGATGTCTTTACATAGAATGTCGTCTTGGGTAGGTTTCTGGGGGCAAGGTAGGATGCAAGAGGCTGAGCTGGTGTTGAGAAGGAGGCGTGAATCCTGATATAGCTACACACTCGGCATTGATGAATGGCAATATCGGCCAGGATGACTTGAAGGAAGCATCTCGGTTCCATGACGAAATGCTGCGGAAGTGATTGCACCGGATGGTAAATTCTAGATCTCATTCAGGTTTTAAGACTCGCCGAGCTCTTGATGGCGGGTTTAAGACTCCATTTAAAAACCCATTTCACAGCTGAGGCAAATTCATGGTGCACACTTGAAACTTGTCGATGCTTTGGGTTTGTAGGAGGGTTGGCAATCCCCAAAAAAAAAAGTCAAAAAAGTCCTAAACCTATTACATTGATGTCAATTTAATCTTAAACCTTTTGACCTAAAGTCAATTCAGTCATTCGGGCTAATTTTGATCGGATATTACCGACGTGGACACCGGCCAGCCTACGTGACACAGCCGGAGTTAATGTGGATAAATTTTTATTAATATTTTTCGAATTTTTTTCTATTTTTCTTTTCTTTTTCCTTTTGTTTTGTTCTCTTTCCCCTTTTTTTGTCCCTCCCTCCCATCTTCCTCCCGCCTAGGCAACCGGCCAGAGGCGAGGGCGAAGCTCGAGCAGTTGCCGAGGCTCTGAGATTGGGGGATGAGATGGTTAAGAGGGGTTGTCGACCGATCTCATTGCTTGCAACACCTACAATCAAAGGTAGACGAGTTCTTTATCGTTTGGACAATTTCCCCAGGTTCGCAACCACACAACGTGAGGCTCGTTTTCGGGACACGTGTGAGAACTGTCTTTTTTTTGCTAGAACTGTTAAGACACGTTTATCTTCTCCTCCTCCTTTTTATCCAAACGGAAGATACGCCATTGGGTGTCGAGATCTATAAAGCACGGAGGATAGAGAAAGCAGGATTCGGCGAATGTGGAATGTCAATTTGGAATTTTCCTTTGCGTTGACGTACAGATGAAATGATAATGCGGATAAGATTCATATGCCTAAGATAAGTTGCATTATTCTCGTACTAGAAAAAATAATAAAAAAAAAACGCAAATACTAGTAATAAATATTGTGATATGCCAAAGGTTCGTGTATGATGGCCCAGGATGGAGACAAGAGCCAAGGAACCTAAATCTCAAAGCACTTAGTACTTGGAGGTGGAACTGATCAATTGCTAAGCATATGAAGCAGGTCGATCGTGGTTGAAAAAGTTCGTTCATGAGACATAAAGCATTCGAATACGAATTTTAATTGTTCTTCCGTCGCTGTCAACTCTTCCATGTTGCATATGAATTTTTCGGTGCGTCTTCTATGAGATGTATCTGGAGGAGTTAAAAGAGCAAAATCGTAACGTGGAATTTTTTGGCGCGTCTTTCTTTTTCTTTTCTTTTCTTTTCTTTTCTTTTCAACATCATTGTGCATCTTCTTCATTGCCCACACCCTCACCGGCCGAGAGTTGCGGCCCTCGCCGGCCACAGGCTCTTCGACTCCCAGATCCTAATCCCTTGTCCTTCTCTTTCTCCTCAAACCCCGCATGGTCTGACAAAGCAAGATCAAAGCCACCTAATTTCTTATGTATGCATCAGAGGAAGAGGGAATGTAAACTGAAGAAGTATACCTAGACATGTTGTCGCTGAAGATGGTTTTCCTTTGGCTCTTTTGCCATCTTCGCTTCAGTCCCACCACCCCTTTTGCTCTTCTGATGTCGCTGAAAATGGTTTTCCTTTCGCCATTTTGAGCAAAAGCCAACAAGGCGGTTCCTTCTTTTTTGGAAATATCAAATCACATTGCGGCGTACGTACAATTTACACAAAACTGATTGAGACCATCGCCGGCCATAGACCTGGGCGAGGGCCTGCAAGCCCTCATGGTGGCCCAGGAGGGTCGTCGGCCATCGTCGAGGCCCCGGCAATCCTGCCAGCCACTTCCAAGAAGATGAACAGTGAAGAAAGGAAAAAAAAAGAAAAAAAATGAAAGATTCAGAAATATTCATAAAATTTGTCATTTTGAGTGGAATCGGACATGTCAACTTCTAGCCATGCCACATTGGACCACCACATTAGTGATTTCCAACCCAAATTGATTGGATGGACCACGTTGGAAAATCATCAAAAGATTTAGAAGGACATTGACCAAATTAAAACGTTTAGCACTAAATTGGCGGTCGCACAATAAATTTAGGACTTTCTGGATAATTTTCCAGTTATTCATGCTCGTATCAAAATCACCTCGGCCTCCTCGAGACAATTAACTCGGATTCGATTTCGAAGTCATCTTGAGCTTTTTTTTCTATGGCTTCAAATGTCTATTTTTGCACGAGTGTCAAGCACATTTTGAGCACATTTTGATCTCCAATCTTTATCCATGCACCATGACCTACTTTTATGTATCTATTATAAAACCTATCTGGAAGCAAAGAGGATCTGGTTTGCCAATAAAGTCAAGAGCCAAGATATGGGGTCCCCGCTTATGTTGGCCACCTTATTTTCCTCCACTTCTTCCTTATTGGCCTATTTTTCTCCCTATAAAATGGGCTTCTCGGCCAATTCTTGCTCCTCAGAACCAAAAGCTTAGTAGCACAGTAAAGAAACTGTAAGTGAAGGTTTTCTCCAAGGCAAATTGGGTTGCTCACTCTCCCTCAAGGGCTTCTGATTCTTACTTCGGCTTTGATACGAGATTCAAAGGGTTAGAAGTAGAAGCCATTGAGGGAGAGCGAACAAGCTTTGTCTTGCTCTTGCAGAGATCATCTGTTGAAACCAAGGCATTTCTCTACTTTGCACTCTCCCTCAAAGACTTCCAACCATGGCCGGTCCGATTCAATGAAATGAGATCGCACGGTTGGAAGTCTCTGGGGCGAGTACGAAGGATGTGTCTTGATCGAGCCGGTGAAAAAGGATCGTGCAGTCAACCTCGAACGATCAAAGCATGTACGCGATGGTCCTGCACTGCTCAC